CTTTGGTCAGTTGGGGTCAGCTGTCCCAGCTGTGTCCCTTCCCAAATTCTGTGCACCCCCAGCCTACTCGCTGGTGGGGTGGTGTGTGAAGCAGAAAAGTCCTTGACTTTGTGTAAGCACTGCTCAGCAGTAACTAGAACCTCCCTGTATTATCAACAGTTTCCAGTACAAATCCAAAGCATAGCCCCATACTAGCTACTATGAAGAAAATTAACTCTATCCCAGCCAAAAGCAGCACAAAATGTCAGGCCGAACCAAAAATTTTCAGAAATATATTATTATGTATTATGAATAAACCTGGAAAAAAATGTTTGGTGCAAGAATAAAAAGAACTTATCTCATCAGATTTTAGAAATTAAGAACAGGAAGGACTGAAAACAATACAAACACAAAATATCTAATAGCCCAATCAACAGAAAAAGTATTTGAGCCAAAAACCTAGACTTAAATGCCAGTAAAATAAACCATCAGAAATTCCCATAAGATTAATTCTGTCTGGTTCTGCTTTGAATTCATGTCTCATTCTACTGGTGAATACTGCAACAGCTACTGCATAAGCTTTGTAATTTTGCAAGCCTACAGCCAACACAGTTGGTTATATTAAGACTCCCCAAATAATATTACGTATGGAATTAATTACAGTTTCACTTACCTGTCCAGGAGAAAAAGCTATTCAACACTGTGAGAAAGAAAAACATATCACAGTTACATCAAACCTCATTATTCCCTCAAAATTCTCCTTTCTCCAACATAAATTCATAAAATCTTGTGCACTGACATAAAAAAAAGCACACCCTTACTTCCATCTCCATCCTTGCTTTGGAGATCTTACTGCAGCCTTTCAATACTTAAAGTGGGCTTATAAGAAAGATGGAGACAAACTTTTTAGCAGGGCCTGTTGCGACAGGACAAGGGGGAATGGCTTTAAACTAAAAGAGGGTAGATTTAGACTAGATATAAGGAAGAAATTTTTTATAATAAGGGTGGTGAAACACTGGCACAGGTTCCCCAGAGAGGTGGTGGCTGCCCCATCCCTGGAAACATTCAAGGTCAGGTTGGACGGGGCTCTGAGCAACCTGATCTAGTTGAAGATGTCCCTGCCCACGGCAGGGGATTTGGAGTAGATGACCTTTAGAGGTCCCTTCCAACCCAAACTAGTCTATGATTCTATGATTCTAAAATGGAACTGTATGGAAAGCAGGGTGCTCTATATCACATCCCTGTAAGACAAGTGGTTTCTAATGTGCCAATGCATTAGCAAAAAACACTACAGGTTTTTATGTTTATAATGTATGATGTTCCTCACAATTTGGCTGCTCCCACATAGTCTCCCTGATCCCTTTTTTTCAGCGTTGTCTTTTTTATACTAAAAAATTTTGAAATCATACCAGTTCTATGTTTATAAAACAAGTCCAGTCTTGGGAGAGAGGGATAAAAGCTTTTCATGACAATAATTTCTGAGTCGCACTATTTATTATGTTCATAACTGGTAACTTTACTCATATTATCTGTAGGAAGGATTGACCATGATTCACCTTTGGGTAATGATAAGAACATAACAGCAACACTGACAGTCAGTACTTTACAGTGTCTTTTTTTTTTTTTTTACAGCGCTTACAGTGATTTTTTTTCTTTCCTCACTTGAATATCCATGTTCTTGAAAAGTCTGAATCAAACAGTGACAGAAGTGATGCCAGGGGTTAGTTCCTGAAGCTCTGTGGCACTTACAAGAGTCTCAGCAAGCAGAGATGAGCAGTTCCCACTGAGCGTTTTTGCTCTGGTCGTACAGCAGCAATGGGAAGTACTTACCTGTATTTTTGACTCCGGATTGTCCTGATGCTAAAAGCCCAATGAGGACACAGGCTATGATCGCCACCAGGCAGAAGAGGACGATCAGGGTGATTTCCAGCCCACTGAACTTCCTCTTGCCCATCTGGACCCAGAGAAACCCCATTGGTATAAGGAAAACACAAGTAACAGCTTTGAAAACTCTATAAATTACATTACTAATTTAATAGATTAGCAAAATTTATAAATTACTCAGCTTTTAAACCATGTCCCCTAATCCCAGGGTTTAAATAACACACTCCTTAAGGACTATGTGCAATAAATCTCTTATTCAGGATAATTCACACAGCACAGATTACTGCATTATTACACTAGTGGGCAATCACTGAGAAATGTATTTTGTTCCCTGAAAACCACTTTACACACAAACCACAATTTTCTCCTGAGATTAACTATGGAGTTTCTTACATGTTACTGAAACTCCTGAAACAGAAAACAAACAAAATCCCCTTACTTTTTTTTTTCTTTTCTTTTTTGCAAGTTTTCTTTCCTTCTTTAGAACAAACACAAACTATACTCTGTGTTATAAAGTAGGATGTTGATTTGTTAAAAACGTACTTGACAAAAACCTCTAATGAGCTCTGATTGCATGCTCATGACACATGGAGTAAGGCATAGGTAACAGGGAAAGTTACTTATTTGTAAAGTGGAAGAATATGCCATGCGTATAATCCCATGGGATTTCACAAGGGCTGCAGTTCAGTGAAAGCAGAAGAAACTGCCACAAGAGGTACGCTGGTTGCTGCTGAAATCACAACTGAAACGAGGGAGAGGATGTAGGTGGATTCAGCGCCTTAAAATGCCATGTAAAACTTGTGTTTTTCCCAGTATTGCTTTTTTTGTGAGGCACAGTGGAGCAAGGCATGCTGCGCCAAGGGGGCTGTGCTGGCTGCAGAGCCAGCTGCTCAGCCCTGTGCGAAGAACACCACCGTACCATTAACGTTGAACTGCACACCAGCAATAGAACCAATTAAAACTAATCTCCAGCAACCAGATCAATATACACTGGCAGCTGCTACTGCATTTAACATTTGGTTAAGAACATTTAACCTTATAAAACAGCCTCTAAATACAGAAAACTTGGTTCTTTTTAGTCAAAGCAAGAAAGTGCGTGAATACATGTGCATTGCACTGGCATATCAAAATACGTTCACATGTTTGTATTGGGTTTAGGTGGCAAGGTGTTTGCAGCTGGAGGCTGCAGGGGCATCTTCTGTGAGAAGAGACCAGGGGCTGCCCCATGTCGGGCAGAGCCAGTTCCAGCCGGCTCCAAAATGAATGCACCATTGGCCAAAGATAAACCCATCAGCGATGCTGGTGGCATCTGTGTGATACCACTTGAGAAAGGACAAAAAAACACTGCACAGCAGCTGTGAGAGAGAGGTGTGAGGAAAAAATGTGACAGAAACAACCCTGCAGACACCAAGGTCAGTGAAGTATATCCTATCACCCCACCTGCACCCCTACTCATGGAAATCTCGCAGCAACAGGAATGAACAAAGAGTAAAAGCGATACTGGCCCATCAACAGTCCCCAGAAGAATAAAGCTAGCGCTTAGATAACTAAGTGCTTTTCAGTATGGTGATTAATAAAGAAGCTTTCATAAATAGCATAGTGTTATTCATATTTCTCCGTTAATATCAAAATTTATAGCCATTTTTAATATTATCATTATAGTTACTCCCCCAGGGAATATTGTATTTAAAGTCTGCAGCTACACTGTGTATTGGAAAGCATACATCTTAAGGCCTCTTCTTCAGTATGAGGGAATCACACTCCAGCAGTTCCTCTCCTGAGTTCCCTTTAACATTGCCTGAATACATGTTGACGAGGAGCCTTAAAACATAACTTGGATGCAATAGAAGGAATGACATACCTTAAAGTCCCTCTGCTTCCTTCATCTTCTGCTCTTGATTGTAAAGCTCTATATCAAAACCAATGCTTTATGCTTTGCTGTTATCAGTCCATTGCATTGGTTGCTAACCGATCTACCAATGGTAGACACATACATGATTACAGGCCAGTTGCCTTCCCAGAGATGGAGGTGAGGCTGACTGGCCTGTAGTTCCCTGCTTCTTCCTTCTTGCCCTTTCTGAAAATAGGAGTGACATTTGCTTTTCTCCCGTCTTCGGGCACACCTCCAAAGCGAGAGCCCATTTTGTTGATTTTGTGGTACCTTTCTGTCACATCACCCCAGGCCGTGGCCTGTTGACCCACTCTGTCACTCCCTCACAGGGCTGCTGGCTACTCCATCCCTCCCATCACTCTTAGTTTAAAGCTGTCCTCTTGGCAAACTGCTCTGTGGCACATCACTACCAAACCTGAGACAGTTAATGGTGGTACGAATCCAGCTGAGTCCCCCTTCTACGCAAACTGCTGCGCTCGGGGATGGCTCCTGTGTAGGCCTCTCCCGAGCCCCAGCCAAAGGGTACCTGATCGGGGGGAAGCTGCAAGAAGTCACTAAACATTCCCAAAAGAGGAAAAGACCTATTAAAATAGGTCAAACGACAATCAAATTTATAACAAAGGAATGAACCATAAGTTATTAATTTTAATATTTATATAAAAAGATTTAATGGTATTCTAAAAATAAATGTCAAAAGCATAAGAAAAAGATGAAAGATTACCATAGAAAAGAGTTTACAAGGAAGAAGTTTCAGTAATAATTGAAATACGAAATCTTAATATGTAACTGGGTTTTGTCTTTTCCTCAGAACATATCTAATCTTAAAATTAAATATTTATTTTCCAAAGCATAGCTATGGAATAACTACATATGCCCTCTCCATTAGCATAGTCCCCTCCATGTCATTTAAACTACACAATGACCGCTAAACTGTAGCATTGCACCTAGTGGTAATGCCTGTATTGCTACTATGAAGTATTAAAATCCTGAAATATTAAATTATCCCCTTAGATGCTTCTGTTTTACACACGCATTCCTCACAACTCCTTAAAGGTTCTGATCATACTGGTTTCAAGGTTTTCTCTATAAACACAACAGCTGGCAGCTTTTAAAAAAAACCCAAAACAACAACACCTGATATTTTTACAGTCACTTGTAATCTCAAGTAGGGGTCTGAACGAAAACATCAGAGTGTCAGACTTTGAACAAAGCTTTGGGGCTGGCAATGCTGCAAGTGTTATTGTGTAGGCCACACCTTCCACAAACAATGATACAGAGGGAGCTGTACTTACACCCAATTCCAGAAAAACCTCAGCCTTCCTCTTGGGCAAGTCTGTATGCATTGACTGACTTTGCTTAACTGAATTGCTTTCTACTCACTGAAGATCTGGTGTGTTCAGTGGTAGAAGGTTACAACTCATTTTCCCTCTTCCAGATGTCCAGATTAGAAAACGTGATCCTCTTCTTCAGCCCACTGGATCTTCCTCTGCCAGCTCCATAGGTACGCTTATCCTTCCTTGAGTCCTAAGCGAGTTCAGAGACAGAAGCAGCAGATAATACAAAGGTGCATGGTGCAGAGCATTTGCTGGGCTGCTGTTCTCTGGTGATAATGTTTATTTCTTGACACTCTGGTCACATCATGGGCACAGCAAACACCACAAAAACCCAGTCAAGGCACAGTAGCTGAAAATTATTAGAAGCAGCTCCAAAAATCAGCAGGTACAGTTTTTACGTGTTCAAGGAAGACACAAACACTCCTTCCCTCTATACCTTGACATGTTAACATCATCATTCATTAACCAGGAGACTCATGCATCTTGCAGCTCATTTGAGGTTCTTTAATATCACTGTCACTGCAAGGCTCAGCACCATAAATTTTTGCATTGCTCTATCCCATTAATATAAGTTGTTTTTTTTTACCTTGTCCTCAAGAAGTGTTTACGCTCTCCACATGACAAATCTCCCAGCACAAGTATATTACCTTGTGGCCACCTTATTTCCATTCTAAGATGCTCTCTCATACAATCTCCTCTCCTTTAAACACCACTGCAAAATCATGAGTCCAAACTACATTACTTGCATAGCAAATCATTTTAACACTCAATTCCTTGACTCAAGCTCTTGGCATTACTTAATATAATCAAATAGGGAGGAAAATACCTCAGTGACTCCGTCTGGGGTAGAAAGCTACTAGGACCGGGCAATCCTCTTCTCTTTGATGGCTGCTGGGAGAGCAAAACTCCCAGTCTAGCCTGCAGCTAAATGACTTTGCAACTTGAGTGACCCCACGGTGCACAGGAGAGTCTGAACAGAGTCACGATCTGCGGAGAATCGGACACTTACGTGTCCCACAAGATCACCAGTAGACAATGGCTCTTGAATGAGAAAAAGGTAGGGGAGACACGGAGAGAGATTGGAAAGACAGGAGCAGGGAACTAGCCAAACTGAGGAAAAAAACCTCAATCCCATCATTTTTGTAGTCTAAAATTGGTGTCTCTACAGGATGCAAAAGTGGCCAAGGGGCATACTGATAATGCTTTTTCCTGGGAGCAGGACAACTTTTATGATAGGTGCTTAGGCAGCTCCCATAAGAAGCCAAGGTTGCTACCCTGCCAGCAGAAGAAAGGAGTGTCTGCAACGTCCTTGGGCAAACAGGCAAACTATGGGTTATGCTAGAGCCAAGATGAGCTGGCAATTATTTTCATAGTGACCAGCACACCAGCAGCACCCTAAGAAATACCCCTTAAATTACCAAAACAACAGCAGCAGCTCTGTGGGAACTTAGTTATCCTTACAGTTAATACTACTTCTTTATCAAGACTTCCTTAAAAACGTGGTTCAATCTTTTACCAGCTCTACAGATTTAACAATGCATCACTCATTCTAGGAAAATTTTGCTCCAGGGAAGGAATAGCTTTATTACTGGTGTAACCTTGTTGTGGAGACACTCTTGCTACCATCAGATAAATTACTCTTGAACATATGAACCATGATCCCTTTAGAAAGTGGAGTATATTACAGTATCCTTTCTTTCAACTGTGGCATTACTCAAAACTCATGTTTTTTATGCTAGATACCACAGGGAAGGAATAGCTTTATTACTGGTGTAACCTTGTTGTGGAGACACTCTTGCTACCATCAGATAAATTACTCTTGAACATATGAACCATGATCCCTTTAGAAAGTGGAGTATATTACAG